TACACTTTCCCAAACATACAACTACAAGTTTGCCAGCAACACACTAAGGTGTGTGGTGTGGTTGAGGGAGGGAAGGGATGCCATCCAAAAGGACTTAACAGGCCTGAGAGGTGGGCCCATGTGAACTTGTCAAAAATACAATAGTTTGTTTAGAATGCCTGTGGAAATCTAAGCTGGTTGGATGCTGAGTAGAAAAGATCAATTATTGCAGACCAGAACAGTATCATGTGTATAATTTTTGCACTCATCATTCAGGACAAGTGAGAGTTTGCATATTCTGTAGAAGAAATAATCACCAACTTTTGGCCCAAAAATAAATATGTGTTGACCATCCCTACCACTGTTGTGATCTTTATGTTATGCTTTGATTTTACTTGTTTTAAACTGCACTGTTTCTCTGGAAGTTATGAGTTTTATTTTTTCTGCTTAATCTGATTTGGTCACATTTATTACTGGCTTATTATACCGCAGATTTCAACTATTTTAAACTTACAGACTCCTGATGAATTTTGAATGAGTAAGGATTCCCTGCAGTGAATTAGATCCTACTGACAAAAGCCTTGTTTTTCTTAGGTACCTCTCACAGGCTCTCAGAAATTGCCAACTTCAGTCAAGTTAAAAGGTTAAGCCTCCTGCTGTATTCTATAAAGTCTCTGTTACCATGCTGGAGTCCCCAGATTCTTCCTCTGCTGAGTAGTGAACGATTTATTACCTTGGCATGCTCCCTTCCTCGGTCCTGAGAATTCATGCTATTCCAAAATTAGATGGTTCACAAAGGTCTTCTCTCTGTGGTACAGAAAAGCAAAGCCCTCAAATATATTGTGAATATTTTTGGTATCAAAGGCAAAGATTCAATTAAAGCCCTGAAGCCCCGAAACCCCAAATCCTCATTGTCAATCATCTTGTGTCCATTTTATCAGAAGGAAGTGTGTTTTTTCTTACGAACTAATATATTTCTCTGTTGAAGATGTTTAAAACTCTGATGTGGAAATCTACTGATGAAGTGCATCCACCTCAGGTGTCATTTATTTTTGTTACAGCACCTTTTCCCCACTGGTTTCCCATTTCCATGGTTTTCACTTTTTTTTGAGGGTTGTTTATATTTGGGGTAAGGGATGAAGCACAGCAACAGAAGGAATGGTCCCTGGTATTGCTGTGCATTGGTGACAAGCCCTGGTCTCAGGCAACCCTGGCTGTAGTGGGGCTCATGGGCTCCCCTGTTCCCAGGCTTGGTGTCTCAGTGCTACTGGGTGAAGCTACCACCCTGGCTCAGTGTTCCCCAGGATGGGAGGCCTCTTCCTGGTGGAGGTTGAGGCTGAGAGCCCCAGGGACTAGAAGGGAGTTCAGCCAACACTCCACCAGGGCAAGTGGTCTCCCTCACAGGCATGCTGTGCCAGGACCTATATTTAACCTCTGATTTTTACTTCCTTGCCATGATTGCCCATCAGTGCCAAAGATGCTGCTGCTCCAGGGAGGAAGGATGATTCACTTGGGACTGGTGAAACTCCTCTGGAGCATAGAATCATAGAATAGTTAGGGTTGGAAAGAACTTTAAGATCGTCAAGTTCAACCACCCTGCCATGGGCAGGGGCACCTCACACTAAACCATATCACCCAAGGCCTCGTCCAACGTGGTCTTGAACACTGCCACAGATGGAGCATTCACAGCCTCCCTGGGCAACCCATTCCAGTGCCTCACCACCCTAACAGGAAAGAATTTCCTCCTTATATCCAATCTAAACTTCCCCTGTTTCAGTTTTAACCCACTGCCCCTTGTCCTATCACTACAGTCCCTAATGAAGAGTCCCTCCCCAGCATCCCTATACCCACCCTTCAGATACTGGAAGGCTGCTAGGAGGTCTCCACACAGCCTTCTCTTCTCCAGGCTGAACAGCCCCAACTTCCTCAGCCTGTCTTTATACAGGAGGTGCTCCAGTCCCCTGATCATCCTCGTGGCCCTTCTCTGGACTTGTTCCAACAGTTCCATGTCCTTTTTATGTTGAGGACACCAGAACTGCACACAATACTCCAAGTAAGGTCTCACAAGAGCATAGTAGAGGGGCAGGATCATCTCCTTTGACCTGCTGGTCACGCTTCTTTTGATGCAGCCCAGGATACGGTTGGCTTTCTGGGCTGTGAGCACACACTGAAGCCAGATCATGTTCATTTTCTCATTGACCAACACCCCCAAGTCCTTCTCCACAGGGCTGCTCTGAATCTCTTCTCTGCCCAACCTGTAGCTGTGCCTGGGATTGCTCCCACCCAGGTGTAGGACCTTGCACTTGGCATGGTTAAACTTCATGAGGTTGGCATCAGCCCACCTCACAAGTGTGTCAAGGTCCCTCTGGATGGCATTCCTTCCCTCCAGGGTATCAACCGAACCACACAGCTCGGTGTCATCGGCAAACTTGCTGAGGGCACACTCAATCCCACTGTCCATGTCAGCAACGAAGACGTTGAACAACACCAGTGTCCCAACACTGATCCCTGAGGGACACCACTTGTTACTGGTCTCCAGCCAGACACTGAGCCATTGACCACAGCTCTTTGCGTGCGGCCATCCAGCCAGTTCTTTATCCACCGAGTGGTCCATCCATCAAATTGATGTCTCTCCAATTTAGAGACAAGGATGTCGTGTGGGACAGTGTCGAACCCTTTACACAAGTCCAGGTAGATGACGTCAGCTGCTCTACCCCTGTCCATCAGTTCTGTAGCCCCATCATAGAAGGCCACCAAATTGGTCAGGCAGGATTTGCCCTTAGTGAAGCCATACTGGCTGTCATCAAGCACCTTGTTGTTTTTCATGTGCCTTAGCATGCCTTCAAGGAGAATCTGCTCCAAGATTTTGCCAGGCACAGAGGTGAGACTGACTGGTCTGTAATTCCCCGGGTCATCCATTTTCCCCTTCTTGACAATGGGGGCTATATTTCCCTTTTTCCTGTCATCAGGAACTTCACCTGGTTGCCATGATTTCTCAAATATGATGGCCAGCGGCTTCACAACTTCATTCACCAGCTCCTTCAGGACCCGCGGATGGATCTCATCAGGACCCATGGACTTGTGCACATTCAGATTTTTAAGATGGTCTCGAACCAGCTCCTCTCCTACAGTGGGCGCAAGGTCTTCATTCTCACAGTCCCTGCATCTGCCTTCCAAGACTTGGGTGGTGCGGTCAGAGCCTTTGCCAGTGAAGACCGAAGCAAAGAAGTCATTCAGAACCTCAGCCTTCTCCAAATCCTGTGTAGCCAGTTCTGCCGAGAGCTTCCTGAAGGGGTCTACGTTCTCCCTAGTCTGTTTTTTATTTGCTATGTACCTGTAGAATCCCTTCCTGTTATCCTTAATATCCCTAGACAAGTTTAATTCTACCTGGGCCTTAGCTTTCCTAACCTGGTCCCTAGCTTCCCAGACAACATCCCTGTACTCTTCCCATGCCACCTGTCCTTGCTTCCACTTATTATAAGCCTCTTTTTTTCATTTGAATTTTCCTCAGGAGCAACTTGCCCATCCAAAGAGGTCTCCTGGTCCTCCTGCTGCACTTCCTTCTGGTTGGGATGCAACACTCCTGAGCTTGTAGCAGGTGATCCTTGAATATCAACCAGCAGCCTTGGGCCCCCCTGCCCTCTAGGGCTATATCCCATGGAACCTTCCGAAGCAGGTTCCTGAAGAGGCCAAAATCTGCTCTTTTGAGCATGCCTGCCTTAGAAGTTGTGTGACAATTTACACGTTCATTATCATTCCAAAGTTTCTTCAAGGTGTTTACTGCACCGGTTTTTCACTGCCCCTTTGCTCAGTGTAGGGATAATATAAGTTGTGACCCTCTGCTGCACAGTTTGTCAGAGAGTATGTGAGCAGTGTTGTAGCTTCCTGACATCTCTAGCCCTTTTTCCAAAGCAGTGATATCTCTGTGGCTCTCTTTTGTGGAGAGGGTGCCCTTTTTGTTTTTAGTTTTGGTACCAGCTGGACTTGGTTTTGTCTGGCTTATTGATCCACCACGTTTGCGAGCTCCAAGACCGGGAATTGCTTGTTATGGTCCGCAGATAACTGAAACATGTGGCCAAACAATCTATATTACTTTTGAAGTGCTAAGTTTATACATTCACTTTAGTTTAAGCAATGGAAATAGCCTAGCTGCTTTGAGTTTGATTTTCTTATATTACCTTGAGACCCTTGTGATCAGCTATCACTGGGATATATCTGTAACATCACTTGTCCCTGCTAATGTAAACCCAGGTCCCCTGTATTGATATGAGTCAAAGGTCTGCCTATGTGGTTTTCCAAGAAAGCATGACCATAGTATAGTGTTTTCTATAACTAGTGACAGCCAGGGGGGTGATGTGGCTAGCATCGCATTCGGATGCCTTGGAGTTCCTGGCTTCAACAGATGAGTTTCTATTTATAACTGGATTTATTGAAAATGGCCTTTGGCACCAGTACAGATCAGAGCTTGGACTTTGGTCTTTGAATCTGAGGGGGACAACCCTCTCAGTCTCCTATCCCCTGCCTCTTCCCTGCACAAAACAGCAGCCACATTAGGGAGCCATGGAAACAGCTTATAACATCCTGCTACATGTGTTACTGTCATTGGGTGGATCCATTCATTAAAAATCAAATCACAGCCCCTTGCTTCATTCACCTTGGCACACAAGAATGTGTTTCTTCTTTACCTTTCCTTGACTTGCCTTACTCCTGATGGGAACAATCTGTTCCATATACAGCAATCTGAAATTATGAAGTATTGTTTTATACTGCCTAATGTTTTGGTTTTTTTTTAAACCTCATTTTTTTACGTTCCTTTGGGGTGGGGGATGGAAGGTCACACAAACTTCATGAAAATTAAATGTCAGTATTTACTTGGCTCAAAGAAGTTCTACAAATTTTCCTCTGTTGCCATCTTAGATTTCTGGATGGTGCGACATATTTTTTTTTGCTGCGTCTGTGTTTTTGTGTGGTGTTTCCATTTACAGTATTTGAAAAAGCATGTTTTTTTTTCTCTTTTGCAGTGAACATTTCTGTTTGACATGACATAGCAATTCTGCACCAATGGTGCTTGAAATAGGTGAGCATTTAAGATTGATAGATATTATATGGTTTACCGCTGAGTATGCACTGCACACCAGCCAAGGCAATGGGACACCGTGAGTGTTGAACAGATTTAGGAAATGACTAAGCCTCTCTCCCAGGCTTATGTGTGCAAATGGTCTCTTTTTAACTTTGGACTCCAAAGTCAAATATGCCAATTCACATTTCTTCCCTTACTTCTTTTTCTATTTTTCAGCTACATGATTTACAGGAACAAAGTGATCTGATAATCCTCAGGTTTTTCTCTTACTGGAAATTGTGTAAGTTCTTTTACTATCCTTTCCCCTGCCACTGCAGTAACTTTTCCATAGGTTATTATTACAAACATACTTTACAATAAAGTAATGAGTAACACAACGCAAACACATCCATTCTCTTAATTAAATGAGCTACAGCTTTTTGGCTGAAACAAACAATAATATTATTTATAACTCAAATTACATTATGTAAACTGTGCTCTCACCTATAAAGGACTATAAATGGCATGGTAGGGTTCCATATTTGCTTTTTTCAATTTCTTTTCCCAAATGACTTTCCTGTTGACCTCTCTTTTAATTTACAAATAAAACCACGACTTTCTTGACTGCCAGCACTGAAAATTCACCCTGGGATCTGAGATCAAGCTGTGTTCTTTCTGCTTCATGCCAAAATAGACTCCAGTTCACCTCCACAGCACTGACATGGCTCTGCAGGGCTGGCAGGAATGAAAAGCAATAACAGTGCTTTTGCCAGTAAAAAGATGAAGTGAACAAATTCTCTCAGAAGTAGGAAGATACCAATTTTCAAGTCAGCTTTATAGGAAACAGCTGTTTGAAACAAATGCTTGTAGCAGAGCTGGGGTGGGATATCTTACTGCTTAACATTCCTTTGCAACCTTCGTTCACTTTTCCCCTTTGGTCTTTCCAGCTCAGCTTGTGGATAATTCAAGCTGAGGTGCACAGCCTTTTTCCCTGGTGACAATGATGGTCTCAGGTGTTTCTGCCCTCTTCTAATTGTTTGCATCCCTACAGTTATGTTGGTACCGGGCTGCTCTGGGCATTAGTTGGAGTGGACTTTTGCAGAGATCCCCAGGCTCATCCCTTTGGAGCCAGGTCCCAACACAGCTCTGTGAACAGTTGTGCTGTCAGGCATATAGGCTACCCTTCTACTTCTGTACTTGGGGGGCATTAGGTGAAGTATAGGGAAGGCAGTTTTCTAATTGCTTTTACCCAGTCCTGGTCCAAGGTTAACATTCAGCCAGTTCTTTGCACTTAGATGTAAGACCTTCCAAAATTTCTGGTTTTGAAATTCGGTCTTCCATTTTGTAGTTGGCAAATAGATCTTTGCAGTGAGAGTCTGATGGATACAGAGTTTGGAACAAAGTATGAAGACAGCTCTGAATGACCATCTTCCTTTGGCAGCTGAGCATCTCTGTGGGGCTCAGGCACCAACATGCACTCAGACATAGGCATCTAGAGCTCTCCTGCCACAGAACCCATCCTAGGAGAAGTGCTTCCTCCTTGCAAGGGCAGGAGTTTACACAGGGCACTGAAATGCAGGCAGAACAGAGAGGGTGCACTGCCTGACAGCAGTCCAAAAAGATCCAAACAGGAACTGCTCTAGTGGTTTTCAGAGGCTGCAATTATTCCTGCTGCCAACCAGGAGGACTGGGGCTCTCGAAAGGTGGGAGATACTCTGTCAGAAAAATGGTAATAGGTGAGGCCAGGCAAAGACAAGGTTTTTTCCAAAGCCATATGTGAAACCCCTTCCCTGGGCTTCAATAGGTCTCAGGACTCTTGGCAGAACCCACAATCAGCTGCTTAAACCTGTAATTCACCATTTTATTTGTCATTTATTAAAGAGGATAGAGAAAAGGAAATGATGGATAAGACTGCTGTCCCTGGAGCTCTTTCAGGCTGTGGACCATAAAATCCCAAATTCAGACTCTGGGAAACATTTGGCTAAGGTTTTAGTTCTCGGGATAGTGAAGAGAAGGCAGGAAAATGACCATGTAAAGTCCACGGTGACCTGCCAATGCCTGGATTGTCAGCTGCTCAGCACCGCCCTCCTCTCCTGGTGGCTGTCCCCTGCGAGCCCACATGCCGCCGATCCCTCTGAGAGCACTAAGCTTGTTGTTCAGTGCAGCAGCATTCCTTCTGTGGAGGCTGATGAGCACTGAGATGCAAAACTACCACTACTGTCTAAGGGGACGGTTTTAACAGGAGAAGAAACACTGAGCCATGGGCAATGTGCACTGGCATTTACAGTTCCTTCTCCTGACGTGTCCTCTGTGAAATCTGATTCTCTGTACTGTCTCCTTGGGTTTAAGGAAACACAAAGTTAGTGGAACCTGATTTTTGATCTTATATGTAATTTGGCCCACTGGATATGAACTGACACGTAGACTAGGAGAAAAGGAAGATAATTACAAAACCAGATTAAAATAGCTTCCAAACAAACCAGAGATTTATGCAGAATTTCTTTTTTGTGCTTGCTTTGGCTGGGATGATGGACCTTTTTTTTTTTTTTTTTTTTTTTAATACAATTTTGTAGACAGACTATTTCTGCAAATATGTGGTTGAGACTTCATTTAAATAACCACACCAATTTGAATATGCACCTTTTTCTGCCTGAGGGGTAAACATGTGCACATGGTAGAAAATGTATCTGTGACACTGAACTCTTGTAAAGCTCTGCTTAGCCACCAGCCACCACCAAAAAAGTTAATTCTTTTTTAGGAATAAAAACAAATGCATGGAAGTAAAGACATTCACAGTTCACATCAACTCTTAGATCAATTCAATTCGTTTATGTATTACAGCATCTGCTGCAGGTTATGTAAGTTCTGTTGCAAAAACTTGTGATATCTGATGAATAAAGGACAAAGTCTCAGTTTAGTTTTGAATTTTCAGGGCTTAGTGAATTCTGCTGTAACTCCCTCCCGGGTTTTACTGCTCCAGTTGGTTCATTGCAGATTATCTCTCTCTGTGATTAATGGCAAAACTACTGCCACTGAGTGCCTTTGAGGTTGCAACCCTGTGTGTTAGGTGCTGTAGAGTAATCAAAGGACATTCCTTGGGTCAAAGTGCTAAAATTCACCTAGCAGTTAACAGGCAAATGTGGTTTTGAATTATATGAACTGCTAGATTACATTATTAGAAACAACTTTTGCATTTTATAAGTTGTCAGTCATTTAAATTATAAAAATGATCCCCAGAATCAAAATTCCATCCTTAGCTCCATTTTTAATATGCACATTATATGGACATTCATTTTGACATCACACAAACTAGTTAGTGATCAGAAAGCTTGATCCTGTTCATTTGATTCGGATGAGTAGTCTCACTGGGGTTAACTGAAGTGCTCATAAGAATAATATGAGCATGGTTACTTAGTTCTTGTTTAGATGATGCTAAATCATTTGATTAACCCCATTTTTTTTCCCCGAAGGCCACAGATAAGACAAATTAACTGGGACTCACAAATATCCAGTTATGATCTAATGCAAATTGCATACATTCCCAAGGAGAAAAAGAAAAATAAGAAGTTTCTTTTAACATGAAGAAGTTGCTGTTTTAAATATCAGAGTGAAGTCAGAGTAGTGCTACTGGATTACCATCATTAACTAGGCCAACTTTATAAATCCTCTGAAATATGAAGACAAATTGCATTCAGAAATTAATTGGATTCTGCATGAGTATTAAATATTTTGCATTCATTACTTTTCCTGAGGACAAATGAGTGTGTGCTCATTAAATTAAATAATGCATATTGTTACATACTTGAGAATATGCACAACAAGAGATTAAAGGTTATATGGACAAACCAATTGTGACACTTCTTGACTTCTTAGCTCTTGAGCTGGCAATTAAAACACTATATCCCTTGCACAGGTAAAATGCATTTTGGGAAGACAGGCAACATACAGTCCATCGCTGCTCTTTATTTCATGGACATATAATCTAGAGGAGATAAGTGTTTTCAATCAGTATGAATACGTATTACATACAGAAAACTGCATCAAGCAAATGCTGAGATATGTGATCTGTCTGCACTGAAGAACATTTTTAGCAAGGATTGCACCTACAAAGGTGAACATTGTAACAATTCCTACTAACAATCACATTGTGATGTTTAACAAAGAGTAGGTAAAGTCCTATATTATTTATTAAATTCTAAATTCTATACATATATATTACATTTTATAAAGTCTTATATTCCATTGCATCAGTATTATACTGGCATATTAATACACATGATATTAACCTGTGTCATGGACAAAGACGGGATGATGCTCTTGGCAATGCAGTGGAAGGGGACTATTTCTAAGCAGTCATCCCATGTGACTTGTGGCACAGTTAGCCCTGTAAACAAGGGGTAGAGAGCAGCATCATTTATTTTGACCAAATAAACAACAGCTATGGACAGAAAAAAATATTAATTGAATTAAGGTTATGATTGCAACCTTTGGCATTTTCTGCTGCTTGATTTCTTAATTGGGTAAATAATTTACACATTGCTCCTTTGCTTAAGTAGTATTTCTAGATTTACTTTTGTGTTTATTTCTCTCTTTAAAGTGCAAAATCAGAGCAAAATCAGACAATAGGAAGAGTTTAAGTCTTTTGGCACTTACTTTAAAATTAGTTTTGGGAAAGCATGGTTTTGTTACACGGAGTCCACATAAAAAGCTTTTTTTACTCAAACCTTCCAGGACATTTCACCTTCAGTCAGAGCCCAAATGGAAATTTTTAGAAAGAGTGAAAACTTTTGAGGTTACTGATGTATGATAATTTGGGAGAAGTGGGTAAGAAGATGTTGCAGTGCTCTTGGCCAATGTGTTCCGGCAGCTATGTCATCACCCCTGCACTTGCAAAATCAGTGTCTTTTTCTCCAGGGGTCTCTAGCTCCTCCTTTCCTTCTCCACTTATGTTTTTCTCTGTAAAAATATATGTTAGCTACAGGAGAAGTGAGAGTGACTTAATGGAAAAGGAAGAGAGATGGATAGACACAACAAGAAAAAAACATGCAATAAGAAAATGGTGGAGCAGACTGTGAAAGACAGGCTGTGTGTATGTTCAGGCAAATACTGGGATGAGACAAAAATAGAGTGTTTAATGTATGCCTGTAGCAATTATCAATATTAATATGACCATGTAATGGCTGTTAGAAGCATAAAAGTAGGAGAATAAAAATTGATCACAGAATTTATACAAACCATTATGGTAATTTAAATCCTTATTATCAGTGTTTACTTATGTCTTAGAGTAGAATAATGAACCTCTAATTGCAGGCAAGCAATTTTATGTCAGAATAAATCAGAACTTGGGTGCAATGATACCATTTATCCAACAATACAGTTGATTTTGGCACTCATTCAACCTTCTTTATATTAAGTTTTAATTCAAAGCATCTGAAACACACTATTAATAAAGCTGTTAGATGCAACCTATATATGATGAAATGTTTCCCATCCTCTCTCTTTTTTTTTAGCTTCCAGCCCCACAGGCCTTATTTTTACAGTACAGATTCACTTTTTGATCTCTAAACTAAGAGAAACAAAGAACCAAACAAAATAAAACACACATACATCAAGAAGAGTTGATTTCTGAGGCTGGAAGGATGAAATGCAGAATGACTTCTTGTTCCAGGAATGTTTTGTTAAGCATTCAGAAATATTGTTTTCTGAAGGAACTATACAGATTAAATGTTCTGGAACAATGTCCCATCAAAATACCAATGACTGTATTTTAAAAACAGATTTTAATCTTAGTCTAGAATAGAGTAGGTATCTGTTTTAATTTATTCTAGTTTCAGTGTGTATTAAACAAGATGTGACCTGTCCTGAACTTAAGGCTCATTTGAGAAGTAATATAAAATGTTATGAAAGGACAGACATGCTAATAGCATAGCAAAAAAACCACCCTGTGTCAACACTCAGACTCCTGAATGTCTCAGGCAGCCATTGCAAAAGTCCATAGCCAGCGAACTCTCTTTCATGTGTTATCAGAAGACTGGGTCAAGCACCTAAAGTGGTCTGATGAGTTTTTTTACCATTTAAAGCAGATTCTGTGGCCTTTGCAATGCACTAGTGTGTTCATGGGGGATGTGCTGGCCAGCAAGCGAGATGTCATTGGGGGTGCACCAGTGCAGGGAGGTGGGCTTACTGTGCCTCTGTTTTTGCTAAATTTGCTTGAGCTAGAAGGTGGAAAACTGTAAGATAAATAACAAGGTTATTGGTCTTACAAGTCAAGGGAGGGCAATTATAGTGACCTTCCAGAAAATATCAACCTAAGGAGAATGAAGTAGTTCTAGCTCTCTGTATGAGCATGAGAAATAAATCAGAGAAAAAATAGGCAGTTATCTAAAAAAATTCTCAGGTTCTGGTGGCCGAAACCCCATACTCAACTGCTACCTCTTCCCCACCTCAGACCCCTAAAAGTTATGCAGACGTTATAAATAAATCCCAAATGCTCTGGCAAGATCTGGGTACCAATGCCATGAACAGGTTATGTCTACTTTTCCTATCTGCCTCAGCTACTTATCTGGCCATCTACAATGCCTTACTACATATATGCATTTAAATTAGACTTTAAAAGAGCAGGGGACTCATACAGTAAAACCAAGACTGTAACATCCTGGTTTCAGGTTAAACAAAGGTTCACTCTATCACCAGTATCCTGGCACTGGCAGGAACTGGAGTGGAGTAGGGGAAGAATCAGAATGAACTTCAGGAAGTTCAGAGCATTATCAGAGCATTAGCCTTCTTAATATATATATAAATATGTATATAAAAAAATATGTAAATGTCATCCTGATTTTTCAAATGCCAATAGTAATATTGCTCTAGTTCATATTTTGACTGTTAATAAGCTAGCTCTAATTCAGACTATTACAAAATCTAAACAAGATCTAAATCTGAGTTGAATTATAATTAGGGTATAAACGCTTCAAGTTAAAAGAATTTCTTTACAAAGTAAAGTATACTAAAAATATAGTAAAAGTAAATATAAGTAAAATACAGTCTCTGCAGGTAACTTAATAATTAAAAGTCAAATTATTAGTCATGCTTTGCATATAGTTCAGCTAATGAATGGGTGGACTCAGAATAAGTCGATTTTTTCTAGGAAAAGATTTGGTGTACCATATTTTACCTAAGCTTTATTATTTTGTATATGTTTAATGCTAATTTCTAGTGAAACAGCTGCAAAATTAAGAAAGAATCTTATTTTGCACAACCTATTTAACAATTAAACCTCTCTAAAACTAAGATGATTAAATGAGCAGAGCCATCCTGTTTGTTTTGGTCATATCAATTTTACATAATTCTCTTACTGTTGTTATTTCCTGAGTTTATGCAGCCTTATATTCTTGATCTCTCTTTAAAGATGGTTTTTCTAATTAATACTGAAACACACATACCAGCCTATGCACACAGGCCTTCCTTAACAGATTTTTTAAGGCTGCAGGTTCAAGCACTCAAATGATATAGAAATACAAGAATCAAGTGTGCCAGTGAATTTCAGGTCCTGCCCCTTTTACAACTACGCATAATCTTTAATGACCTTTCCCGCTTCTCTGTTGCTGTGCCCACTAGGATTTTTTCAGAAGGTTGTTTTTGGGGGCAGTTCCTCCACCTCAAGAAGGCCACTGACAAAGTCCAAGATTTTATTTTAAAACATGAGGAGGTTTACAATGCCTCACTTGTTGTTTTTTTTTTACTCATATTGATCATAGATTAGCAGTTGAAGCACAAAAATTACGCATAGTCATATAAAGTGTTTGCCTTGGCTTGTTATCCATCATGGAAAAATACAGCCCAAATAACACCAGACAAGGTTATTTGACACTTGCATCACAGGTCAATAGTGGGAAGTATTGGACAGCATGATGCCTGCAGGGGCTGGGAATGACTTGGTCTGCCTGAACTACAGTCTATAAAGACTACAAGAAGAGAGCACTCAAATTTATTACTGGTTTAGTAGGCTTTTCTTTTCCTTTTTCTTTATCTTTATTTTTTTATTTTTCTATTTCTTTTTGGCAAACATTTTAAGCCTAAAATTATCCTGAGAGTTGCAGTATTTACTTAGAAATCTTCAGAAGCAAAATAAAACAGTGCAGCTTTTTATTTTGAAACAAGTACTTAGTTTCAAAATTGACCAAAGCAATGTCAAGGAAGGGTTAAATAACCTCAGAATGAAATGATACAGTACAATTCAAATATCTAGTCTGGCTGGATTGCCACATCAGGCAAATATGCTTTCTGGATTAGGATGCTAGGGTCTCCATCTACCAGGTAGGGAAAAAAAGGAACCTTTTTAGTGATAATTTTTAGCACTGTTTCTAGTCATAATTTTTCTGAGTTGAGCCTAGTACAACACTTCCTTGCAATCAATGTGTTTTGGCTTGTTGAAGAACAAAATGTAAACAGGTTCAGAAGAAAAGGGACTCATGGACTTGAGTAAGTCCATGGCCTCATGGACTTGAATACTTGCCCTACCTTGTGGTTGTCATTAACTCATAGTTGTTGACCAAATGGATCATAAAAGTTTTGTTACAATTAATGACTGAATTATAAAATCCAGAGACACATCTGCTGAATTAATCGACAACAGTTAACTTGACTATGGTTATTTAGGCTTTCTTGTGAAATATGAGATGACCTATTTTACTTGTCAGTCTCAAAATAATGATATTCAAATTGGGAAGAAATTAAAATACTTAAAACATAAATTATAAGTATTCCTAATTACTGTAGTTATAGGAATCTTCAGGATTTTGCCTGAAAAAGCCAATTAAGGCACAGAGAATGGAAAAAACCAATGAAAATATTCAATTTAATATGTGGAGTTGAGTTTATAGTTTGCAGTTCAAAAATATCTCTGTTTGGGAAAGCATGAAAACATATGCTTGATTAGCACTTCCTTGAATCAGGGGCATGGTAAAGCACAAAAAATATCAACCTTAAAAATATATTAAAACACAATTAAGGTTATACCCTATTTCTAAAGGAAATTACAAGCTGACTTCAAAAGAACTGAGGATATTTCAAGGAAGTTCCAATTTCTCATAATACTTAGGCATTACATTATAAGTTGCATAAGAAAAGGAAAAGTTACCTAAAACCTCACTCTACATTCTACATTCTAGAGTATACATACTCTACTTTCCTGTTCACAATGTATTCAGTGAAATTAGTTTATTTGCATTTTAAGAGTTTTCAGCAACTTACTAGGTTTGTGGTTTAAAAATTTTCTCACCACTATTCCTAGGATCCCATTTTATTAGTGAGTATTTGAAAAATTGTATTTTGCTGTCATCTGAAATTGCAGAGAAAATATCAATTGCAATCACCTCAAAGAGATTTCAATTAGGTACATGCAAATTTCTAATACTGACTAAGGAGTTGAAACTGATAAAGTTTTTCCACATAAAGCAAATATTTTGTTTCATTAGAAACAAATTTATTTCTTTATTCCATACCATAAAACTTGTTCAAAATCATCTGCATGCGGCTGTTTCTATGAATAAATCACAGAATCATCAAATCAATCATAGAATCATAGTATCATAGAACCATAGAATGGTTTAGGTTGGAATGGATGGCTAAAGGACCTTAAATTTTAGCTAACTGACCTTGTTGCAAAAGGAAAGAAAACTGAGTGAGAAAATGAAAGCTATAAATTTCAGAGCAGATGAGGAAGCATAGATACCATTTCAAGACCCAATGTTGTAAAGTACCAGAAAAATATGAATTCCTCATGAAAATTAAGATGGAGATCTGGTAACATAGTTCCTGGCTGAGCTAATAACTGTAACAACTGCTGTGAAATGTTGGTGTATGTTACAAAGCCACTTATTTCACAGAATCATAGAACAGTTAGGGTTGGAAATGACCTAAAGACCATCTAGTTCCAACCCCCTGCCATGGGCAGGGGCGCCTCACACTAAACCATGTCACTGAGGGCTCTGTTAAACCTCGCCTTGAACACTGCCACAGATGGAGCATTCACAGCTTCCCTGGGCAACCCATTCCAGTGCCTCACCACCCTAACAGTAAAGAATTTCTTCCTTATATCCAATCTAAACTTCCCCTGTTCAAGTTTGAACCCCTTACCCCTTGTCCTATCACTACAGTCCCTAATGAAGAGTCCCTCCCCGGCATCCCTACAGGCCCTCTTCAGATACTGGAAGGCTGCTATGAGGTCTCCATGCAGCCTTCTCTTCTCCAGGCTGAACAGCCCCAACTTTCTCAGCCTATCTTCGTACATGAGGTGCTCCAGTCCCCTCATCATCCTCGTGGGCCTCCTCTGGACTTGTCCCAACAGTTCCATGTCCCTTATACAATTTCAAAATTGTATAAAGAGGAATTCACTTTTTTTCAGTGCCTATAGAATAGATTCATAGTTCCAGGTTCAAAAGTGCCAGGTATCAAACATTTTCTGCTGAGGAAATATTAAGAAGTGTGTTGTTCTTTTAAAATCTCCTCTCATGTTCACTTGCATATACATGGGTAACCGTTAGTTTTCTTTTATCTTTTGGACTCCTGTGCTTTGATATAAGGAGTGCGGTCATTGGGATGCCCACAGGAAGAGGAAGAAGAATCTTTAGCAAATGGACGCACATATTGCCATTGAGGGGTTATGCACGTTGCTTGCATTTTAAGTACTTGAAATTACTTAACACCTTATCTATACCCTGCTTTGTAACCGTTAGTGTTTAAGAGATAAGTATGATTTTAATCTTCAGTTAAACCACACCATTCATCCTTAATTTCTATTCAGCTCAAGGTTAATAAAACTTTCTTGTCACGTCAAGGAACAAAACATGGCTGACTTGCTTCTTAGAAGAATTGAGGACTTCAGATAGTGAATTAGAAAAGTAAAAGCTCAGCAATTTTTTCAAGTTTCATTCTCATGAATCCCCTCCCTCTCTGTATTGATGTGTCGATATGTACAAAAGGAGAGAGTAAGTGAAAATGTCCATTAGTACTTTGACTGTGGTGTACTAATTCAAATTGGCAGCACCTTGGCGTCACGGGATAGAAAAGTAGAATATGATTTTAAAGCTTCATTTGTTTTAAAATTATATCAGCTATGTAAAATTTTCTGCTTGTTTTCCTCAAAAAGTGACTTGCTCTTTTGTTGTGTTTCTTATTTCTGTAGGAAATTACATCCACTACCATGTAAGCATGTTTAGCCCTCTGTCCAGATAAGCTTATAGACCTTTTTTTTTATGTAAAGGATATACTTTTCAATTTCTATCAATGTACTTTATGAAACCAATGACTTCTTCATAGTCAGAGCAATAAATGTGAGTGTGTCTAAATGGTCTTCTGCAGACAGATGTTCCTTTCTTCTTCCATGAGTACAGCAGGAGTTGTGTGTCCCAGGCTAAAAGTCTGTCAAGGCGGAGCAATGTTCCTTAAATGCATCCACACAGCTTCCATTTAGTTCAAAACATATGAACAAACTGAGGTCTGCCTCCAGAAGACCTTGTAATTATTGCTGAGGATATTATCTTGAATCTATCTCTGTGTTAAGTAATTAATTGAGCAAATAGTACAGTACTGCATTGCCACATGCAGTCTTGAAATACTGTAGTCTCTTTATATAGATGCTGAGAGGGATTCAAGCCTGGATTGTCCTGAAAGATGTCTGCTTTTGCCTTGAAGTCTACTTAGAAATGTTTAAAGCCAATTCCAGTTTTTGGAAAACCTCAGCTATTCATAACTTTGCAAAAGAAATTAAATATTGAGGCTCTCTGTGTCACCATATTTGGCTTTTAGATACCATAGGCTGAGTGTTGACAGCTACTCCTCTTGGTCTCTCACTTGTGTCCTTGAGTGGAGCCATACTGCTGTTTAGGCTCATAGATTGCCCAGAAAGCAGAGGGGATAGCAAAGACTCACAGAGCAGCATCCTGGCCCTAGGGGACAGAGGACCTGCCTTGACTCAAGCTTCTCCTACTGTGACTTGTTTCTTTATCTTACCTGATGACATTTAATGAAGAATGCAGAAATGGTGCTCAGAGTCAGAACAGGACTTCGAAGTCTGCTGCTGTCACAGTAAGTGCTGAACTACACAGTCATCTGTTCTTTTGGCCCCTTGTTTGCCATGGTAAACCACAGGTTTAGAGCCAGGCATCAGCTCCTCACATGTCTCTAATGCTTGGCTAAATATCACCTTGCCCCTACATCAAGCAGTCCTGTATCACCAAGATACTGATGCAAGCATCTATCTTATGCACACATTTAGAAGGATAATTTAATGTAATTATGCAAACAAACACTAGACAAAGAAAAGCTCTTTAGTCTTGGTGATCAGACAGAAAATTAATTTCAATGGGTTTTTTCCTTGATCTAAGAAGAAACTGAACATGGACTTCTGCTGCCCTCTCATATGCAATCTCATCCAGCTTGCTTATGCAGGAACAGTTACAATTCCACAGTTACAAAAAAAGGCATGTAGCAAATTTATATAATTTAATGAGAACTTTCTGGGCAAATGATAACAAAAAATATAAATTCAGTTTGGTGTAAATAGTGTAGGTCAATGTGGTGTCACGGTTTAAGGCAGAAAATTAGCTCTATCCCAGCTGAAACAAGGGCACATGAGTGTCCAGTGTTCCTTCCACGTTGTTATACCAGAAAGGTTCTAACACTTCCTAGCTTAAGCTATCAGATAATATTCAACACTCAATATTCTTTCTTCCAAATGTTGTTCCCCCACTGCAAAGGTGAGGTAAAAGGTGTTTAAACAGCTGAAATGCAGCAAGAAAGAGGACAGATACATATTCTGGAACAGTTACTGCAGTGGGAAGGCAGCCCCTTGCTGCAGACTGTAGCCCCTCAGAAATGCTACCCAGTGCAGCTCTGGAGCTATCGCTGCTGGGAGAGGATGCTGTGTCTCTCTAGGCTCCCCATCACTCTAACTCATGATCCTACTTTCACTTGTAATTTCTGCATGAAACATCTTTTAAAGACCAAGATATTTTGTAATTCTTCTGTAACACCAGCGATATTCACAGAAAGAACAGGTTCCCTTCCTTTTACAGACATATTTACATCCCATTTTTTAAAAAATACTATAAACATTGGATTGGCATGACAATTTGAAAATAAGATGCTGTCTTAGATAAAGGAAAACTCATATGCAGTCAGCAGGGCAGCTAGCAGGAAATTTGGACCCTGATGGTAAATTTTACAGTGAAGAAAAGCAGTTGCTAGCTGGAGAGTCTGTTTCTCTGTTTTAGGGTCCAGCTGCAGTAGAAAGATAACCTTATACAAAATAGGAAAATCTCATGTGCATTAAGGTGGCACCATGGGCATCATGTCCTTCACCCAGAGGTGGAAGCTCTTAAGAGGTATAGAAGCTCTTGTAAACAGCGGGCAGGAGCTGCTGGTGAACATACTGAAGATGGAGGATGGCTGTCGGAGGTGTCACAAATCAGTGGAAAAGGAGCCAGGGATTTCACATTAGAAATAGTCTTCATTTAGCACCAAGACAGCTTTACATCTGACCAAAACACATATCGCATGTTTGATAAAGAAATAGACATTTTTGCATTAATTAATCAAACATAGGTTTTGGTACATGTTTAACATACAAACTGCAGTTTTTACTGCTGAAAATCTTTGGGATTTGGTACAAGTCTTGCAAATGTGTCCATACATTCAAGCAACCTTTTTTAAAAGCAAAACCATTTCCGGTATTTCCTTGCCAGTAGCTTTAATATGTGACCACACTGGAAAGGTTATGCACATGCCACATACAGGAACTGGTGGTGCCTGGCTAAACTAACTTGGCATAGGCAAGTGTGATCTGGCAAAGAACAGATCCTTTGCTAATGAATCAGTGTGAGCTGTTCGGTTTGGACAGAAACAAACTGTAAAATGCCAGCTCAGCAGGAGCACTTCCTCGAATACATCAAAGCTGTTCCTCTCTACATGGCACAGCTGAGTTCTTTCCAAGAATTTCTAGACCAGTATTCTTGCGTTTCAAATTGTTTTTAAATCCCCCCTTCTGAAAGCACCAAAACAAACAGAAAGGGATGTAAATCAAAATACTAAAATCATCAGTCAGGCAAAGCATGAGCATAGCTGGAAACAGGGATCCCTCGAGATCTTGCTTATATCCTGGGTATATTTAAAATGATACCCATTGCTGTTATTTCTGGGGAAGCACATGTATTAAATATTCTTATTTTTTTTATCTGGATACTTACAATATTTTTCTTCTTAATATTTCATTTCCTCTATAGCTGAAGTACTACCTACATTATTGGCATGGGGTAGATTTCAGCTGCATCAGTAACCTGGGGGGGTGGGGGTAGTTTTGCTTATTTCAACAGAATGTGGTGGAAGAATCAGAAGAAATATCAGAAGTAACATTATAGCCAAGTTATAACATCTTACAGAGTTTATGAGGCTACGGACCGGTTCTGTGTCCATCGTGTGTAAAAGAATAGGAAAATAGCAAGTCAATGTGTTAGTAATTGTAAGTGGTTGTTGTGTTGTGGCTGTTCCCCATATCCAAATGCAGAGAAGTGGCAGTGAGTTAAGAGCTGTGAGCCTGTCTCCACCCTAGTGAGGGAGAGCCCCAGCACACACTCAGGGACATGGGGACATTGAGCACATGCATCAGCTGGATGCATATGTTGGTGCAGGAGATGGCAGAGCTGAGCAGGGTTGTTGGCCAAGCCAGGCTGAAGTTTTCATCTAAATCCCTCAGCAGTGTTTGCCCTTCTTCTTCAGCAGAATTTAGGTGTACTGGATCAGATCCAGACATAGTATGGATTAGTGATCTTCTGCGAAGAAAAATATTATATTTTTATAAGAAGCAAAAGTATGCATTTGTAAGAATTAGGAAGGAAAACTTGGATGTGTTAACAACTGGGATGAGGTATAGGTCTGCCTGATAAGCTAAGCAGTGTACAATGATTTTCTGGTTTTGTTGTTATGTATAATAGCGCATGTGCAGTAGTCCCATCAGAGCTACAGGAAGGAGATGCCATAATCAGGGTCCCTGCAGAGATCTTGGCGAAAAAGAAGCTCTTTGGCATGTTTTAGCTGTGGTCAAGCATCCAAGGCTGCAAATATTGTTGCTGACTACCTCTGAGATCTCTCGTGAGCCCAACCTGTGGCTTCAGATGGAATTTTATAAGGGAAGCATCACTCTTGTGTGAAAGAGGGAACCCTTGACAGCTCCTGAGAATAAAACAGCTCCTGCTATTTCTGGGTGAGAAAAGTGGTCAGTTTGTGAGATGTGGAAGGCTTGTCCTGGCATAAAAACTAGCTCTGCTGAGGCCATCTCAGCTCATTTTGCCACGCCAGAAAGATCCAAAGATGTCCTGGAAGATGGCTTGCACAAAGATGTCTTTGAACATATGCATATATATGTATATACAAATATACATATATATATTTATATATTATATATAAAATGCATAACATACATATATATGGAGAAAAGCAAGGACTAGTAAGGTAGAGGGGAAAATGAGGGCCTGGGAGGAAGAGAGCTCTGTGAGCTACTGAGAAAGGAACACAAGAGGAAAGGATTAATAAAAAGTAAACCCCCAAACCACCATAAAATATGTAGCAGTAGGGCAGAGACACAACAGGGAGGATCAGAGCAAGACTGAAGTAAAGGGATTAAAGAACAGAGAAATCAGCAGGAAACGAAGTAAATAGTAAGCACATAAAAATGTACAGGATAAGAAGTACACTGGAAATACTGAGACAAAGGGAAGACGGTTAATCTTCAGAGCAAGGTATTCTGACCCCAACTTATTACATTGTTGGTGTTTGTAAAGTGGTTCCTAGGACCAATCAAAATTGTTAGCAGGTTACTAACTGTGTGCTACGTTCACTATCACATGCGCTCAGTTACACTACTCCTAACTGATTACTTAGCTGAGGTGTGAAAGCTGGTGGCCAAAACCTGCTGTGGTCAATAGGGGGGATATTTCCACAGGGTATTTCATGTCTAAGGTCCCTCTCCTTAGAGAGAGCATAGAATGGTTTGTGTTGGAAAGGACCTTGAAGACCATCTATTTCCAACCCCCCTGCCATGGGCAGGGACACCTTCCACTAGGTCAGGTTGCTCAAATCCCTGTCCAACCTGGCCTTGAATACTTACAGGGTTGGTTACCTTTGGTTACCAGGCAAGAGCTCAAGGTAGGCAGCTACTGGAGGAGAACCTGGTCCGTGGACCAGGAAAAGCATGCATGCATAAATATGCATATATTTATTCCTCTCCCACTTCTTTTCATCGTCATTATTATTATAGTTGTTGCTATTATTATTATATTTTACTTTATTTCCATTATTAGACTGTTCTTAACCCAAGATTTTACCTTTTTATGATTTGGCAACTTCATAGTACTTAGTTGCCAGCTGAGGTTAAACCATGACACTGTCAGGTTTACAAACTAATTTTTAAGGTTGCCTTATTTTGTGTATGTGTTTTTTTTTTAATTTCTGGGTCAATCCAACAAAACTTTTTTTTTATTTTTAAACTGAATCAATGCTCATTTTTAATACTTTAATAGCTCATTTTATTTGGAACAAAAATAATTCTGGAATTCCACATGGGACAGATTCTGTAGTTTCCATTCACATAGCGCTTGCATTAAAGGCGCTATTAAAGTTCAAAATCATAAGGAGGATATCTTTGAATGTTTTCTGATATCTTACAGAAACAACTAAATGTCGAAATTTAGGGGGAATAGAATTATAGAAAACCTTTTAATTAAAAGCACTATGAATATGCTTCATGCTGTGTGATTAAATCCAATCAGGATGTAAAAGAGGAAACTGGGACTCTGTCTACATGCAGAACATGATTTAGATTATTCACCCTGTTTTCTGCAGAACATTTGGGGTCCAGAAATGAAGTGAGCCTCTGTGTAAGTAACTTCTCAAACTTACCCTGGCTGACAAAACCAAGCTTCCTTCAAAACTAAAGTAGTGATGGAGATTGTGATTGGTTCTTTTTTTTTCTATAATGACTTTACAAAGACTTAGAAGTTTGAGTGCAGATCCCTGTGTAGCTGCTGAGCTGT